ATAAAAAAGACTAATTAAAACTAATAAAATTTAATTAAAAAAAAAGACTACTTTATGATCACCTTAACTAATTATCATTAATATCTTCTACTGAATTTTAATTGCCCTTAAAATGTATCTCTAAGTATTTCTGTAGCTATTAATAACTGACTGATCATCATAATTTAAAAAAGAAGAGACACTTTCAGAAAAATACAGTGTACTTTCCAAGTCTGTTAGCATCATTTTTCTTTGACTACAAAACTATACACTCCATACCTTGTATTAGTACTCGTCTCTGTCCACAAATGATCAATACAAAGTTCAGGAACAATTGGTTCTGTTTCTGGTGCAAGAAAGGAGTCATTAGAAGTACTACTTGGAGAATGAGAGATGCTGTGTCTTTTTGGAGATGGATTGTGACTTGAAAGGCTGAACCTCTGCACTCCTGAGAAAGAGTGCACCCCTAATGCAGGGGAATGCGCCCGGCTGCAAAGTCAAACAGAAAATGAGAGGCTATCACACTCAGAACGTGCTCACTTACCCACTTACCAACAGCCTATGCAGAGAGCTAACCTGGCGTCATCCCTGTCAGAAACACAATTTCTTTTAAGTAGTTATTTAAGTACTTGACTATAGTCTAAAAACCTGGAAAGTCTTTTGAGAACTCATTCTTTTAAAACTAAAATTTAATTTGTGTTCCTTTTCTGCCTCAGGAAAATAGTAATGTCATTAAAAAGTCAAAACTATGTTCCTGTATAATTAGAAGGATCTATAATGTATATGTGTGTGCATATAATAAAAATAAACGGAGGGGAGAAATCCAAGACAAAAAAAAAAGACCGAAGTATTTTGGCATTAATGTCAAACTGCTAACTAGTGAGCTGTAGAAAATGAGGCAACCAATCTATAATGTATATGTGTGTGCCTATAATAAAAATAAATGGAGGGGAGAAATCCAAGACAAAAAAAAAAGACCGAAGTATTTTGGCGTTAATGTCAAACTGCTAACTAGTGAGCGGTAGAAAATGAGGCAACCAATCTAAAGAAAAACATTAGCAAGTTCTAAATATAATTCATCAAAGAAAAGTGACAGAGACTGCCAGTCATAGTAAAACGGCACAAACAGGATGATGGCGGCTTTCAATAAAAATACTTGAGTTATCAAATTTTAAATCCTTCAAAACAGAAGAGAAGCTCAGAAAACAGGGAGTCTTATTTTTCACATTTCATCCCCACCTTAGAGCTGCCATGTTGGAAATGGAAGGTGAACGGGAGTGCAGACTGGGTGAAGAGGCTGAGCGGCTCTGGCTGTGAATGGAGGAGTAATTCTGAAAAGGTGACGTCACTGGAGAATCTCCTTTGGAGAGGCTTCTGAGGTGAGCTGTGAGCGAGCTGCCAGCAGCTACATTCTGAGAGGTTGCCCCTTGCTCAGAGAACTTGAAAACAACACTCTCTTCCTTAAGTCAAACAAACAGGAGAGTGAGAAAAGACGCACACCTCTAACTAGATTAAAATAATGGTTTCCATTTCAAAAAAGCAGAGTAAATGGCAATTATTTAAGTAAAATTATTTTCATGAGACTCTGAATCTATTCATAAATAATTCTTCCAAGAGCATGTGAAAGTATCTGTATTAATTGCACTTTTATGTTCAGGGGAAGTGCCTTTCCCTCATCTTTACCTCTGATTTGACTCTTCGGAGATCCCACACAGAATGCAGACCTTGAACAGTGTCATAGGTCATTACAATGGAGGGGTCAGTACTGAGGAAAACAATTTTCATCGCATGATCCACAACATACTGCACACGTGATGAACCAAAAAGACCTTCAAAACATAACAGAAATAATCAGATAAAAACAATAGAGTGTATGAGACTACTCTTTAGGAGCTGAGTCCTTAATTAAGACAAAAAGAATCCAAGACAATTAAGGCATAAAAGTTATTATTTTATCACATAATTAATCCCTGATTCTTTAATCAACTTAATTTAGACATCAACTTCCTTAAATACATTAAAGATGAGAACCTTACAAATTTCAGTTTTGCACACACCAATTAATTTTTCAAGATTGGTGCTGAAGAACCATTAAATTCATCAGTCACCAGTAAAAAGTCATTGAAGGTCCAAGATTCAGTTAACAATTGATTTCACTATAAACTGCAGTAACTATTCTGTCAAGAAAGTCTGAGTTTAGGGAGCTCTGGTGGTCTAGTGGCAAGAAACTACACGACTCAAATACAAAAGATGCTCTGCGGGAGAAGGAGGGGCAATCTCCTCCTATACCAGTCAGATCTAACTCGACAGTACACAACAAGAAATTTAAAAAAAAAAAAAAGTTTGACTTCTCTAGCAGTACTTTCATTCAGGATGGGTTTCCATATGTTTATTTCCTAAATACCATGAATAAAAACATGATCCCACTTATAAAAAATGAGTATTTTCTACATAACATAACTTCACTCCTCATTCTATTTTGAAATATTACTCCTAATACTTTAGGATTTTCCCTTACAGCTTTTTGTCTATACACACACAGAAAAACATTTCTCTGTTCTTGCAAAGTAAGAATTGTAAATAAATAAATAAATAAATAAAATTGTATTGTATTTACTGCTTCCAATTCTACTTAATTTCATAAGTAATTCCCCACATCACTATCAGTCAAAAAATGTTTAAGTCACCTGCAATTCTTATCAATGTAAATAATATAGAAGGTCAACAATTTTTTAACTGTAAAGTGTCAGAGAATAAACATTTTGAGCTTTATGAGCCATATACTATCACATTTTTTTTTAATCTAGATTTCTAAAAAGGTAAAAATTGTTCCTAGCCTTCAAGATTTTTAAACACAAGCAATGGACTAGAAATAGTCTGTGGTCTATTGTCTACCAACCCAAAAAAGAAAGACAGAAACAAACACTAGTATTTTAGAATATGTACCTGGGACAAAGCCCTAAAACCAAGATTAATCAAAACCATAAATATTTGTTTAAACTATGTATATACTTATAAATATCTGCATAATCATCAAGTTCTTATTATGATAACCTATCACATCTACTATATTTAAAAATTAAAGATAAGCATATAGAACTTTAAGAAAATACTAAAAATTCTGAGCCCCAGAAAATTATGTTCTTAAGAGCCAAAATAAACCCATAAAACTTCATGAAATACTAGAAAAGGGGTGGTGGTTGGAAGAAGAAAATTTTTTTTACAAAAGAAAACTTTATGCAGTACTTTAGGTCCTATGGACCTACATTCTTTTTCTCCCGAAAGTTATTAGCACAACTAGCTATCATTCACTAATTATCAAGGAATGGAGTCATCTCTACCTTGCTGCTGTAAAGCGAGTCAGTTCCAACTCACAGCCACACTACAGCACAGAGGAGAACTGTCCCCTGGGATCCAGAGCTATAGTCTTTACAGAGGCAGGCTGCTCCATCGTTCTTCCCGGGAGCAGAAGCTGGCTGCAATCACCAAAGTCCTGGCATGCTGAGCAAGGAACCACTAAGCCACCAGAGCCCCAATTCATCCAAAGTTTAAGAACTATATCAGCACTCATAACTGATTTATCAGACAGGCTCTAATTTTTAGTCTATTTTAAAGAACAACTGTTAAACAGTTAAAATGATGATAAACAAGTTCTTGCTTTGACATAAATTTTATAATACAAAAGTAACATTTAAGTATCTTAAACTGTATTGCTTTTATTAAGTGAAATTTTCAAACTAATTTTTATTCTGTTCTCTTCTTCAAACACACACACACACACACACACACACACACACACACACACACACACAGTTTAGTAAAAGAAATTCTAGGAAAAAACCCACTTACTTCCAGATTTGCAAATAAGTGGTGTTATTTCATCTAGTGGATACAGCATGCTGAACAGTGTTGGTAAAGGTTTCCTAGCAATACACAAATAATAAATTTATCAATGAACACAAGAGTTATGTGTTTGTGTAAAATTTGCATTTTCCTTGCCAAGAAGAATTTCCCTGGGGTTACACAAGTTATCAAGAACCCATGACTTTTTAAAACCGGATCTTTACTTTTTTTGCATACTGTTACTTAAAGCATTTTATACTTCCCTCCTAAAAATCTCTTCCTCTCATGCAAGTAAATTCCCTACTTGTATGTACACATGTAGAGGGAAATGAGATTTCTAGAGAACACTTGAAAAGGCAGTTATCCCAACAAAAATCCAACAGAATACTGGGCAGAGTCAGCATCTCCTTTTCTGGACTTAGTCAGTGGTAATGTTTCTTGCACCTGCTCACAAGGGAATGCGCATAAGCCTGTTTCAGTAGGAAAAGTCTGCATTATTTTGTAAGGAAAGGTAGGAAAACAAACATTTTCTACTTCAACACAAAGATAGAAACTTACAAGAAATTTTTCTTGAAGCTGTTTCTTCTCCCATGCAATGAGGGGTGGTGTCTATGTCTACTCTTCAATGTTGTTTTGTGTGTCAAGTCACCTACGACCCACGGGCACATCATGAACAAGATCTGAAACTTGCCTATCCTGCACCATTGACACCACCTCCCACACCCTTAAAGTAGTCACTGTGTCAATACATCTGCTTGAGAGGCTTCTTCTCTGACTCTCCACCTTCCTCAGTATGTTTGGTGGGTATCTTTCCCCTCAAGGACTGTCCTTCTTGACAAGCATGCCCAAACTACGTAAAACCAAGGAAATTTTACCATCCTTACTTCTAATACGTACTCGGGTGGCAACTTCCTACAAAGCAGATTTCATTTGTTCTTTTGGCAGCTCATGGGATATTTAGTACTCTTCTCCAACACTACAATCCAAAGACATCAATTCTACCTCTGTCTTTCTAATTCACTGTCCAACTTTCAGATGCACAGTAAACAACTGACAATGTAATGGCTTGGATCAGCCACACCTTACTTAATCTTTAAGCTGACATCCTTGCTCTTTAGAAATTTGGAGGGGTCTTTGACAGAGTCTTCCCAATGCAACACAACTTTTGATTTCCTGACTGCTGCTACCAAGGATGTTGACTGTGGATCCAAGTAAAATTGAATCACTGAGAACTTCAATCTTTTCTCCATCTATCATGATGTTGCCTTCTGGTACAGTGGTGAGGATTTTTGTTTTCTTGATGTTTAGAAGTAATCTATATTGAAGGCTGTCGCTAGTGTTTCAAATCTTCATTTTATGCAAGCAAGGTTGTATCAGCTGCATAATACAGGTTTTTGATGAATCTGCCTCCGATCCTGATACTACATTCTTCTTCCTATAGTCCAGCTTCTCAAGTTCAGCATACAGACCAGATAGGATGGAGGAAATGATACAAGACTCCCCATTCGTGATTTTAGGTTTCACATAAGCACAATTATTCTGAGATTCACCTTTTTCTCCGTGTTCTAACTTATTATGATCCACACAATCAAATACTTTTGCATAGTCAATTAAAACATAGTATCATTCTAGTATTCTCTACTTTGAGTCAAGAGCCATCTGACATAAGCAATGATATCCCTCCTTCTGAATCCAAGTTAATTTTCTAGCCATTCCCCATCTATGTACTGCCCTAGCCATTATTTAATAAACTTCAGCAAGACTTTACTTACATATGATATACTTTGATAACTCTCACATTGTGGGATCACTTTTTTTAGAAACAATTATGGATTTCACCCACTATTTGTTCCAGATTGCTGTCTTCCAAATTCCTTGGCAAAGACTAGTGAACATGTCCAGGGCTGCATCTGTTTGCTGAAACACATTAATTGGTATCCTATCAATTCCTGGGGCCTTATTTTTTTGCCAGTGCCTGCAGTGGTGCTTGGCCTTCTTCCTTCAGTACAATGCTACTTCCTGAAACAGTCTATGTAAACTGACTGTTTTTGTTAAAGTGACTCAGTATTCCTTCCATCTTCTTTTGACATTTCCTGGATCCTTCAAGACTTTTTGGAAGCAGCAGTGGCATCCACTTCCTAAATAACATGCCTCAGTAACGCTATGAACTTTGATAAAAGTTGATAGTTATAAAAAGGCTTCAGGTCTTTTGCTCATAGGGTCTCCATGAGTCATGCTTGATTTGAATGCAATCAACAACAACAATAACAACAACTGAAGATTTTACCCATAGAATCCTTCAAGTCTTACAACTTAAGAAATGCTAAGCGTGTTCTTCCCTTTTGGTTTTCTAACTCCAATTCTTTGCACATTCTATTGTAATGTTTTTGCTTTGTCTCCCTAAGCTGCCATCTGACAGAAATACTGTCTAGCTAGCTAACTTCAGCATTCCATCCTTTATTTTGGCTCTCTTTGTAAGAGGCCAATAGTAGTAGTGCAAGTTTCACAGACTTCTTACAATCATTTTGATTTTTCTTTCTTTCCTGTCTTTGTAATGACCTTTTGCATTTTTCACAAATGATGTCCTTGATGTAATCCTATAACTCATCTAGTTTTTATCATTGTTAGATGCTGTCATGTTGACTCCAACTATATGTACAACAGTTCTGAATCTTGCTCTATTCTGGGTCAATTTCATCATCTCTGACACACCTACCCCCATTACCCCAGTGACTATGTCAATCTAGCTCATCCAGGGTCATCTTTTCTTGTGCAGTCATCCCTCCAACCTTTCAAGCATGAGGTCCCTCTCCAAGGACTAGTTCCTCTTTGCAACATGCCCAAACTATGTCAGACGGAGCTTCACAATCCTTGCCTCCAAGAAACAGCCTGGTTTCATGCTCTCCGGAAAAGACCAGTTTGTTCTCTTAGCAGTCCATGGTCTACTCAATATTCTTCTCCAGCACCAAAACTCAACGGTCATTAGTGTTCAATGTATCAAATCTATTCTTGACATGGTCTTTAAACTCAGTTGAGATAGACACATAGTCATATTTTGACTCTCGTGGACTTGTTTAATTTTCTTCAGCTTTAATTTTAACTTATAGAAAATTAATGGTCTACTCAGTCAGCTCTTGGACTACTGACATTGAGTTGCTCCATCAACTCTACAGATGTAGTCAGTCTGATTCCTGTGTAGTCTATCAGGTGGGTCCAAGCATATAGTCTTAGGTTTTTTAAAAATGAGACTTGTATTAGTGAGATAACTCAAACATACATACATACACACACCACCACCACCACCACTACTACCACTGCTTCTACTACTAGTACTACTACTACTACCACCACCACCCTACTATTTATTACACAGCCAGTATGTACTAGGTTCTGCATCAGAGCATTACATATATTAGCTCATGTTTTGGTTTTGTGGTGGTTTGTTGTATTTTGTTTTTTGTTTGTTTGTAAGTGACTGAATTCACTATATTTCAGTTATACAAACCCTACTATGTGGTGTCCATAGTCGGAGCCTGGGTCCTCTGCATGAAGACTCTAGTGTGGTACGGAGACTTGGGGAACACAGTCTCTTGCTGCGGCCTGCAGTCAAGTAGCTGTAGGTCTTAGAGATGGCATCAAAGGTGGCACTGACAAAGTTGCCCAGGGTAGCTATGCAGCCCCTGCCTGAGGTGTAGCTGTCAATTCCAGCCATCATCATCAGTTCTTGGGCATGAGGCTGAGACAATTCCAGTACCTCAAGGTGGAGAGACCAGGTGCTCCAGCACAAAATCACAGCGCCCAGTCAGCTTGCAGGGACTAGTGTGAGGCTTGCCAGTCTTTTTCCCCTAGTAGCTACACCACACAGGGACAATGGAGAGTATGGCTAGGATAATGGTCCCACAGATATCAGGAACTACCTCCCTGAGGCACTGAAATGCCGAAACCAACATGGTCATTATAGTCTCCAATGACAACAAACTTCATGACCCTGTTTTGCTGGCTGGCATGAGTCTGCTTCTGCACAGACATGATTTTCAAGACCTCATCCACCAAGGATATCCCCAGGAAGAACTCAATGATCTCAAACTCCTTGATGGGCAGTGAGAAGAGGCAGATCTCCTCCAAGGAGAAACATGTCTTTGACCAGACGACCCAGCTTAGTGACGGAGCCTCCTCCTCCTCCTCCTCAGCTTTGCCTCCCTGAGCTCTGGCCCTTCCCATGGCCCCACAGACCTTCTGCTGAAGTGCCCATGAAAACGGACAAAGGCTCCCATCACAGGGCCTCCAAGCCCTCCTGGTGCATCAGTGTGATCCATAGTTGGTTTATCCTCTGAGAAGACTACATGCCACTAGCTCGTTTTCAAGCTTTACAAAACCGTCAAGAAGTAAAAAAATAGTAGCCCTGTAATAGCTAAAGAATCTAAAACTAAGAAAGTTCTAATGATTTGCCCATAGAATGAAAAAGTGACAAAGCTACAAAACAAATCTTATCATTTGTTTAGTGTTTCTGCTGGTGTTGGGAGTAAGAAATTGTAGATACAGTACGTGCAACAGAAAGAATTAACTTCTAAGTGTACAATAATGAGATTAAGAAAAATTGTGTGTATATGTTATCAGGAGAGACTTGATCATCCTGAAATTTGGGTAAAGAATCTTACCTAGGATCAACATAAAACAAAAGTTGCTAGAAAAACTGCATTTCTTGCTGTTGCTATATGCCTTCAAGTTGGAACCGACCAATGGCTGATGCACAGAGGGTTTTCAGAGGGATTAAATCCCATGGGAGGAGAATGCCCTTCTTTCTCCCACACTGTAGCTGAGCAAATTAAATACCTGGATGGAATTGGAGGTACTTCATGTGAAGAAGTACTTCGCTCAAACAAGAGTCCATATTTAGTGGGCCAGACATTGGCAACCTATCAGGTAAAAAGATAAGAAGGCAGAGGACATAGGACAGAAAGAAATTACCTTTTATCAAATGGTTTTCAGAAACACAAAATATTATCCTTTCTTTTCCCTCAATTTAACTTTACAAAACAACACCACTATAATATATTAAAAGATCAAACAATTCTAAGGAGCAAAAGGAATTCAATCTGAAATTCTTGCTAATAGCTAAAAATGGTACCCTAACTGAAAACACGATAGAAGTATAGCATTAGGCATGAAAATCATGAAAAACGGAAAAGGGAGTATCACATATGTACTTTATTTACTAAAATTAATCTTTATATATAAAGTGGCAAAAGTTTCTCAAAAAGGACCTTTTAAACATTCTACTTCACTTAATTTAAAAGTTAAGATCACTTGATGTGCTTTAATATGTCATAATTTACTTCATTAGGCTCTTAAGAACTACAGAAAAACAATAAATTTGCATTCCTTATTATAATAATATATGCATGAGTAGCAATGCTTCTGAAGCAAATTCATTCAAGAATGTTTTTCTAAAAGAATATGGAAACACTCATGTTTACCTGAAAAGGTAAGGAAGCTATGTAATCCTTTCCTTCAATGCTATGCATGCTAATGCACGAACTTTGCAATATGCATATGCATTTTTCCACTTCATTACTACCTGAAAAAAAATGAGTACAAGACTTACAGAATTTATTCTAAAGAGTTAAATCTGAAAAGCATAAACTCTTTACTGTACTTTAGATTCTTAGCCTAAAGCACTAAGCAGCTATTTTGAATGAAGTAATAAGATAAAAACATTAAGAACTATAAAATTTCAAAAAGAAACTTACTGTAGGCCTTTTCAGACTTATCCTGTGATAAAATGAAGTCACACCACAATGCCTAAAAGCAAAACAAAATGCTTATCTAAGAAAATTATTATCTAAGCAATCGTCTATTAATCACCAGTACCAATTGCCATGAGTCACCATCTGTCAGAACAAGACTGTGCTTCACAGATTTTTCAATACCTGCTTTCTTGGAAATACCAGATCTTCCTTCCAACGCATCTCTGGGTGGATGCAAATTTCCAATCTTTCGTTTATCAGTCAAGTATATAAATCTTATACCAGCATCATTAGAGACACAACTAATGGTATCTTTTGTAGTTAGGTGCCAACTCACAGCAACAAGATCAAACTAGTCCTATCCAGTGCCATTCTCATCATCTCTGACATAGTCAAACACATTGCTGCACATTTTGTCAATTCACCTTGTTGAGGGTCTTCCTCTTTTGCTAACTCTCACCTTCAAGCCTGATGTCCCTTTCCAAAGAATACCTCTCCTAACAACATGACCAAAATATGTAAAATGAAGCTTCACCATCTCTGCTTCCAAGAAGTACTCTTTTGGTAGTCCATGTGATATTCAGTAATCTCCTCCAACACCACAGATGAATGGAATCAATTCTTCTTCTGTCACTTTTATTCAATGGAGAGGATCCTGACTGTAGACTTCCCACTACATCTTTTGATTTCTTGAACACTGCTGTCTAGTAAGACATTATCAGTGACAATTTCAATCTTTTCTCCAACAATCATGATGTTGCTTATTGGCATGGTGGTGAAAAATTTGGTCTTCTTGATGTTGAGAAGTAATACATACTAAAGGCTGTAGTCTTTGATGTTCTGTAGCCAAGTGTTTCAAGTTCTCTTCACTTTCATCAAGCAAAGCCACAACATCTGCATAGCACACATTGTTGATGAGTCTTCTGTCAGTTCTGATGCCACAATCTTCTCCATAGAGTCCAGCTTCCTGAATGATTTACTCAACATACAGATTAAATAGGTATGGAGAAAGGATACAACCCTGAAGCACTCCTTTTTTGATTTAAACCATGCAGTGTTCCTTTGCTCTGTTCAGACAACTCCTTGGTCTAGATAAGACTTTTGTATGAGCATCAATAAATGTTCTGGGATTCCTACTTTTCTCAATGTTAACTGTAGTTTATTATGACCTACACAGTCAAATACCTCTGCATTGTCAATAAAACGGTATATAAATACACAGCAACTTTTCCTTCTCCTAAGCTCAACATATATACCATAAGAACCAACAGGTTAAAATTACACTATTTAATGATCAATAATATATACAAATATTAACTATACTTGCAATTGAGCCTTACATAAAAAGAAAAAATATTAAAAACTACTAGAAACAGCACTATCTAGCAGTTTTAAATCTTTTTTCCTTCTTTCCCTCCCGATCCACCTCTTCTTTTTTTTTTTAATCATCGCATTTTATTACCAGTTTCCTTGTTTCTCCAGGGAGCTCTGGCAATATAGTTCACAGTGAGCTGTGCTGCTAACCCACAGGTTGCGGACCTCTGGCAGTTCAAATCTACCAGTGGTTCCAAGCCAGAAAGCTATCTCCTCTCACTGCAATTTACAGACTCAAAACATGAGGGGGAACACTATGAGTTGGAACCAATTAGACAGCAATCAATTCGTTTGATTTCTTTGTAAATCCAATCTTTCTTTATAGTCTTTGGAAACTGGAAACCCTACATATAAACTTAGAAATATCTTAATGCAAATATGCTGTTGTTGTTATGTGCCGTCAAGTCGCTTGAGACTCATAGCAACCCTATGTACAACAGCCCGAAATTCTGCTCTGTCCTGTGCCAATCACACTGTCTCTGACACCCTCATCCCAATTACCCCAGTCACTGGATCAATCCACCTCATAGAGGGCCTTCCCCTCCTGCGCAGTCCCTCCACCCTACCAAGCATAATGTCCCTCTCCAAGGACCGGACCACTCCTTACAACATGTCCAAAGTGTGTTAGACGGAGTCTCGGAATCTCTGCCTCCAAGGAGCCACACGGATTAACCCTTTGCAGGATGAACCTGTTTGTTTTCCTAGCAGTCCATGGTACTCTCAATATTCTTCTCCAGCACCACAGCTCAAAGGCATCAATTCTCCTTCTATCCTCCTTAGTCACTGTCCAACTCTCTGATGCATAACAAGTGACTGCAAAGACCATGGCCTGTATCAGATGCACTTTAGTCTCCAGAGAGACACCATTGCTCTTCAGTACTTTGGAGTGGTCCCTAACAGCTAACTTTCCCATGGCAATATGCCTTTTAATTTCCTGGCTACTGGTGCCAAGAGTGTTGACTGTGGAGCCAAGCAAACTAAAGTTGTGAACAATCTCAATCTCTTCACCATAGATCCTGATGCTGCCAAATGGCCCAGTGGTGAGAATCTTTGTCTTCTTGACATTGAGCCTCAATCTATATTGGAGACTGCAGTCCTTGACACTCTGCAGCAAGCGCTTCAGGTCCTCTTCAGTTTCAGAAAGCAGGGTTGTGTCATCTGCATAATGCAAAGTCTTGATAGATCTTCCACCAATCTTAACCCCACATTTCTCCTTAGAGAGCACAGCCTCCCAGATAATCTGTTCTGCATACAGGTTGAAAACGTATGGAGACAGGACACTTCCCTGGCATACGTCCTTCCCAATTTTGAACCATGCAGTGTTCCCGTGCTCTGTTCTGACTAGTGCCACTTGGTCCAAGTATAGGTTTCACATTAGCAAAATCAAGTGTTCTGGGATTCCCATTCTTCTCAGAGTCAGCCATAGTTTGCTATGATCCACACAGTCAAAAGGCTTTGCATAGTCAATGAAACACAGATAGACAGACATTCTTCTGGTATTACCAGCTTTCAGCTAAGATCCATCTAACACCAGCTATAATATCCCTAGTACCACGACCCCTTCTAAACCCAGCCTGGACTTCTGGCAGTTCTCTGCTGATGTGCTATTCCAGTCATTTTTGGAAAATCTTCAGTATAATCTTGCTTGCATGTAAAAATCAAGGAGATTGTTCTATAGTTTCCACACTCTGTTGGGTCACCTTTCTTTGGGATGGGAAGGAATATAGATCTCTTCCAGTCAGTTGGACAAGTGGTTGTTCTGAAGATTTCTTGGCACAACTTGGTGAGCACATCCAGGGCAGCATCTGTTAGCTGAAATATGTCAATTGGTACACCATCTATTCCTGGGGCCTTATTTTTTGCTATTTCCTTCAAAGCAGCCTGAACTTCTTCTTTCATCACCACAGGCTCTTGCTCTTATGTTGTTTCATGAAATTCTTCTGTGTCTGCCCATTCCTTTCGATACAGTGACTCAGTATATTCTTTCCATCTTCTTTTAATACTTCCCTTGGAAATGCAAATATGCATTTTAAAAAATAAAAATTTACTCCATCAACGAAGACCGGTTGAACAACACTGACTTTTTTTTTAAGTTATAGTAGGTCCTCTTTTTGTGGAAGGTTCTGGAGCATATGGATTAACTCAATGAATCAAGACTGTGTTCAATCAGAAAATTATTAAGAACTGTCTGTACAGTCCTTTTCTTCTTCATGTATTTCACAGCAGCATCCCACTGCTTTCAGAATCTGCCTATCAATTTTCAAAGCAACCAGTAACCAGGACCATGTCTTCATGCCACTGAAGGCCCTGACTGAACTTTTTTAAAACTACAGTTAATCCTTACAATGGAAAATTTTGACACTTTCTAAGACAGAATTACTGTCCTCTTCAAAATACATTCAATCCTAAACTTTCAATTTCCCTTTTTCCAGGTCTACATGAGTGGTATCAAACTTTAAATTACATATTCTTGCATCCTGCATTCTTCACGTAACACAGCAATCTTTTTCCATATTGTCTCCATGAATTTTGCCTTCTTTCCAGGAAGATGAAAAGTTCCAGGTATCCTGACAGATTTAAGAGCAATCTTAATTTAAGAGCAGTCATAAATTGTGGTATGTCCTAAATCAGGAACTATCTGACCTCTATATTGTAGACAGAACTAATGATCTGTTACTGGAAGCCATTTTGTAATCTTCAGATTTAATAAAAGATTTTACCATTCTTAGTCCTTTTAAAGATTCACTTTGCTGTTGTTTTTATGTGCCATCGAGTTGTTTGCGACTCATAGCGACCCTAGGCACAACAGCCCTAAACCCTGCTCTATCCTGCGCCAACTGCACTGCCTCTGACACACCCACCCCGATTACCCCAGTCACTGAATCAATCCATCTCATAGAGGGCCTTCCCCTCCTGCGCGGTCCCTCCACCCCCCCAAGCATGATGTCCCTCTCCAAGAACCCGTCCCTCCTGGCAACATGTCCAAAGTATGTCAGACGAAGCC